AGAGTGGAACACATCGAGGACATTGAGTTTGTGAATGAATTAGCCGTTATCTCAGTCAAGGGAAGGACAGCATTAATGGGAATGAAGGAGAGTTTCCAGATGCAGAATGTATGAGATATGACCCAGTGAGTGGACGAGAGGCTTCAATCTCACGTTTAGATTTCTTGTTTTTCTTTGGCTCAAATATCACAAGAACAAAAAGAGGTGTTCTCTGTCTTCTTGCAGATTGCCAGAGGCGTCAATCTGCAGTCTGCTGAACATGTGGTGTTCATTTCACCAATTCTTCAGTTCAACAAATCAGATTGGTCTCAATTCAGTTTGAACAGACTGGCCTTCGTGAAGAGAGGGAGAGACGCCCAGAACACGTGTTAATAAGCCGTCCATTTAACCGTCTAACCGTAAGAACAACAAGCGATATGTGCAGGACATATTTCAAATAGACGGCATGGAGAGAAGTCAGTTAAACAACTATTTAAAGCTAACATTCATCTGGAGATTTGGTCGTTTTCTTTCCTTTTTAATTTGTAAAACAACAACAATAGATACTGAAGTAAACCTTAGAGACCATGCCATGATGAAAGTCTACAGAAGACCCTCTCACATCTCATACGGTGCTTTAATATGATGATTGAAGTGGTGCTTATTAAACTGCTTCATATCAGACACAGAAGTAATGAGATCTCTGCAGGTCACCTGAAAGCATAGCAGTCATAAATCAACTAAAAGCATGTTTATTTGTGTTGTTTGTATTAATAGCAGCTGTTTACCTGCGTGTGCTCTTTATCAAAGAAGTCCTTTAGTCTCTAATAAAGAAAAAGTCATTGCGTTCACAAACAAAACATCAATTATAGCTGAGAGGGAAATGTTAAGCTTGAGTGAGCAGCGAAGAATTAGACTTCCAGGCGTGAAATAAATCAAATGACTGACGTAGAATTCATCGTCACAATCAGACCCAAAGAAAACACTTCTAAGGTCATTTTATATATATTTAAATAACACAATAATAACTGGAGATGTTCTTTGTGGTATAGTGTACTTTGTGTTGCTAGGCAGAGAAGCCAGCTTTAATGATCCTCTGGCGCCATCTAGTGGTTCATCTCATTATTGCAGGACACTAAATTAGGACTCACCTAAAGTGCAAATATCAAACCCCTTTGTCCAGTGGAGGGTCAGGGTGAGTATATATACTAAAGTACACATTATTTGAGAGTCTATTTGAGAGCGTTAGTTATAAGTGAGGAAACAGAGAGACTTTTCTGCATGTTATGAAATGTAATTTGGGAAACACTTTATATTAAAGTGCACGTTCAGCATCAACGAGTTGTTCATTAACATGTTAGCAGTTTCTAGGCTCTTTATTAGTCACTATAAAACTCTTAGTAATGCCTTATTCTACAAGTACTAGGCCATTAGTTAAGAGTCCTCGTCTCCTCTCTCGTGTCCTCGTGTCCTCTCTCCTCTCTCGTGTCCTCATCTCTCTCGTGTCCTCGTCTCTCCTCTCTCGTGTCCTCGTCTCCTCTCTTATGTCCTCGTCTCTCCTCTCTCGTGTCCTTGTTTCCTCTCTCGTGTCCTCGTCTCTCCTCTCTCGTGTCCTCGTCTCCTCTCTTGTGTCCTCGTCTCTCCTCTCTCGTGTCCTCGTCTCCTCTCTCGTGTCCTCGTCTCTCCTCTCTCGTGTCCTCGTCTCCTCTCTTATGTCCTTGTCTCTCCTCTCTCGTGTTCTCGTCTCCTCTCTCATGTCCTCGTCTCTCGTGTCCTTGTCTCCTCTCTTATGTCCTTGTCTCTGCTCTCTCGTGTCCTCGTCTCCTCTCTTATGTCCTCGTCTCTCCTCTCTCGTGTCCTCGTCTCTCGTGTCCTTGTCTCCTCTCTTATGTCCTTGTCTCTCCTCTCTCGTGTCCTCGTCTCCTCTCTCATGTCCTCGTCTCTCGTGTCCTTGTCTCCTCTCTTATGTCCTTGTCTCTCCTCTCTCGTGTCCTCGTCTCCTCTCTTATGTCCTCGTCTCTCCTCTCTCGTGTCCTCGTCTCCTCTCTTGTGTCCTCGTCTCTCCTCTCTCGTGTCCTCGTCTCTCCTCTCTCGTGTCCTCGTCTCCTCTCTTGTGTCCTCGTCTCTCCTCTCTCGTGTCCTCGTCTCTCCTCTCTCGTGTCCTCTCTTATGTCCTAGTCTTTCCACTCTCGAGTCCTTGTTTCCTCTCTCGTGTCCTCGTCTCTACTCTCTCATGTCCTTGTTTTCTCTCTTATGTCCTCGTCTCTCCTCTCTCGTGTCCTCGTCTCCTCTCTTGTGTCCTCGTCTCTGCTCTCTCGTGTCCTCGTCTCCTCTCTTATGTCCTCGTCTCTGCTCTCTCGTGTCCTTGTCTCCTCTCTTATGTCCTCGTCTCTCTTGTGTCCTAGTCTCCTCTTATGTCCTTGTCTCTCCTCTCTCGTGTCCTCGTCTCCTCTCTTATGTCCTCGTCTCTCCTCTCTCGTGTCCTCGTCTCCTCTCTTATGTCCTTGTCTCTCCTCTCTCGTGTCCTCGTCTCCTCTCTTATGTCCTTGTCTCTCCTCTCTCGTGTTCTCGTCTCCTCTCTTATGTCCTCGTCTCTCCTCTCTCGTGTCCTCGTCTCCTCTCTTATGTCCTCGTCTGTCCTCTCTCGTGTTCTCGTCTCCTCTCTTGTGTCCTCGTCTCTGCTCTCTCGTCTCCTCTCTTATGTCCTCGTCTCCTCTCTTATGTCCTCGTCTCTCCTCTCTCGTGTCCTCGTCTCCTCTCTTATGTCCTCGTCTCTCCTCTTTCGTGTCCTCTTCTCTCCTCTCTCGTGTCCTCGTCTCCTCTCTTATGTCCTCGTCTCTCCTCTCTCGTGTCCTCGTCTCCTCTCTTATGTCCTCGTCTCTCCTCTCTCGTGTCCTCGTCTCTCCTCTCTCGTGTCCTCGTCTCTCCTCTCTCGTGTCCTCGTCTCCTCTCTTGTGTCCTCGTCTCTCCTCTCTCGTGTCCTCGTCTCTCCTCTCTCGTGTCCTCGTCTCTCCTCTCTCGTGTCCTCGTCTCTCCTCTCTCGTGTCCTCGTCTCTGCTCTCTCGTGTCCTCGTCTCCTCTCTTATGTCCTCGTCTCTCCTCTCTCGGGTCCTCGTCTCTCCTCTCTCGTGTCCTCGTCTCCTCTCTCGTGTCCTCGTCTCTGCTCTCTCGTGTCCTCGTCTCCTCTCTTGTGTCCTCGTCTCTCCTCTCTTGTGTCCTCATCTCCTCTCTTGTGTCCTCGTCTCTGCTCTCTCGTGTCCTCGTCTCCTCTCTCGTGTCCTCGTCTCTGCTCTCTCGTGTCCTCGTCTCCTCTCTTGTGTCCTCGTCTCTCCTCTCTCGTGTCCTCATCTCCTCTCTTGTGTCCTCGTCTCTCCTCTCTCGTGTTCTCGTCTCCTCTCTCGTGTCCTCGTCTCTGCTCTCTCGTGTCCTCGTCTCTCCTCTCTCGTGTCCTCGTCTCCTCTCTCGTGTCCTCGTCTCTGCTCTCTCGTGTCCTCGTCTCCTCTCTCGTGTCCTCGTCTCTGCTCTCTCGTGTCCTCGTCTCCTCTCTTGTGTCCTCGTCTCTCCTCTCTTGTGTCCTCATCTCCTCTCTTGTGTCCTCGTCTCTGCTCTCTCGTGTCCTCGTCTCCTCTCTCGTGTCCTCGTCTCTGCTCTCTCGTGTCCTCGTCTCCTCTCTTGTGTCCTCGTCTCTCCTCTCTCGTGTCCTCATCTCCTCTCTTGTGTCCTCGTCTCTCCTCTCTCGTGTTCTCGTCTCCTCTCTTATGTCCTCGTCTCTCCTCTCTCGGGTCCTCGTCTCTCCTCTCTCGTGTCCTCGTCTCCTCTCTCGTGTCCTCGTCTCTGCTCTCTCGTGTCCTCGTCTCCTCTCTTGTGTCCTCGTCTCTCCTCTCTTGTGTCTTCATCTCCTCTCTTGTGTCCTCATCTCTGCTCTCTCGTGTCCTCGTCTCCTCTCTCGTGTCCTCGTCTCTGCTCTCTCGTGTCCTCGTCTCTCCTCTCTCGTGTCCTCGTCTCCTCTCTCGTGTCCTCGTCTCTGCTCTCTCGTGTCCTCGTCTCCTCTCTCGTGTCCTCGTCTCTCCTCTCTTGTGTCCTCATCTCCTCTCTTGTGTCCTCGTCTCTGCTCTCTCGTGTCCTCGTCTCCTCTCTCGTGTCCTCGTCTCTGCTCTCTCGTGTCCTCGTCTCTCCTCTCTTGTGTCCTCGTCTCTCCTCTCTCGTGTCCTCATCTCCTCTCTTGTGTCCTCGTCTCTCCTCTCTCGTGTCCTCGTCTCCTCTCTTGTGTCCTCGTCTCTCCTCTCTCGTGTCCTCGTCTCTCCTCTCTCGTGTCCTCGTCTCCTCTCTCATGTCCTCGTCTCTCCTCTCTCGTGTCCTCGTCTCCTCTCTTGTGTCCTCGTCTCTCCTCTCTCGTGTCCTCTCTTATGTCCTAGTCTTTCCACTCTCGAGTCCTCGTCTCCTCTCTCGTGTCCTCGTCTCATCTCTCGTGTCCTCGTCTCTGCTCTCTCGTGTCCTCGTCTCCTCTCTCGTGTCCTCGTCTCTGCTCTCTCGAGTCCTCTCTCGTGTCCTCGTCTCTCCTCTCTCATGTCCTCGTCTCTGCTCTCTCGTGTCCTCGTCTCTCCTCTCTCGTGTCCTCGTCTCTCCTCTCTCGTGTCCTCTTCTCTCCTCTCTCGTGTCCTCGTCTCCTCTCTCGTGTCCTCGTCTCTCCTCTCTCGTGTCCTCGTCTCTCCTCTCTCGTGTCCTCGTCTCCTCTCTTATGTCCTTGTCTCTCCTCTCTCGTGTCCTCGTCTCTCCTCTCTCGTGTCCTCGTCACCTCTCTTATGTCCTCGTCTCCTCTCTTGTGTCCTCGTCTCTCCTCTCTCGTGTCCTCGTCTCCTCTCTTATGTCCTCGTCTCTCCTCTCTCGTGTCCTCATCTCCTCTCTTACATTATGTCCTCGTCTCTCCTCTCTCGTGTCCTCGTCTCCTCTCTTATGTCCTCGTCTCTCCTCTCTCGTGTCCTCGTCTCTCCTCTCTCGTGTCCTCGTCTCCTCTCTTGTGTCCTCGTCTCTCCTCTCTCGTGTCCTCGTCTCCTCTCTTATGTCCTCGTCTCTCCTCTCTCGTGTCCTCGTCTCCTCTCTCGTTCTTTAGTGGGAATGCTGTGTCAGCATTCCCACTAAAGTAACATTTCTCCTGTGCTTTAATGTTCAAACAGATGTTATTTGAGGGTCTCTCAGCTGGCAGGTTTCAGTGGGCAGGAAGAAAGGACTGATCAGGTCTGCAGAGGTTCTGGTTCCAGGTGAAAGGGACAGGAAGTGAGCTGAAAGAGAGGGAGACGTGGATTTGAAAACTATGGAGTGGTCTTAACAAAACTCTCTCAAGTGATGACTGTCATCAAACATTCAAATCAAGAGTCAGAAAAAATGTGTTAGCAGACTACTCCAACGAACCAAACAATGGGTACACCTAGCTGCTGTAAGGATAATAATAATAAATACTATAACAAGTACAAAGACTATTATCATAATTATCTTAATTATCAGTTTACATCAAAATAGGATGAGAAATGAAACCGTCTTGTTTTCTGAACGTGGACTTGTAGGAATTTATTTATTATTTGTTTGACTTTATCATTTGATTGTCACCCTGGAAATGGGTGTATGTACGTATATGTGTACATATGTATGTGTATGTATATATAGAATGTTGTTTATCTGTGTGCGTATTTAATTACAGAATGATCTTTTCTTTTCTTTATCCTGCTGGATGACTAACGGAGGGATACCTCTGGATACACTCTGCTTTCTGCCTCCTGCTTCTACTCATCATGTTTGTTTCTTGGATGTATAAACTGTCTAATTGTTGAAACAGTAGAATAAATAATAAAACATACAATTAAAAAAAGATCTGCAGAAGTATAAGGTACATGTGTTGAGTTTAAAATAGATGTCTAGTGTCCCTAATGTCCCACCTGATGTGTTTGAGTGGTCGTGTTTGAGTCCAGGAGCCTCGGTAGTTCTGATCCATCTGGACTCTGAGCTCTGCATCAAGTCACAGAATCCATCTTCAAAACCACACCTCTTATATCCAGAGCCTACAACCAGAAAGAAGACATGCTTCAGCCTCTTTGAGTTTAGCTTTTCAAACTGCAGGGTTTCTCGTCTACGGCCTCTTTATGCTATCTCTCTACCTCTGAATGAGTCAAAGTGTTACATTTCCATGCAATATCTGATCAAATTGACATTCCAGTCCGCTGCAAAACACCTGCCTATACAATAACTAACCTAATGACATGCTCCAGATTACAGATTCTGTAAATAAAGCATCATATCAGGCAGGGATTTTAGCCTTTACAGACCATTTACATGCACTAAAACACACTACAGGAGAGAGAACACCCCAACAAACATAATACGGCCGCTTTAAGATGTGGTTTCTGCACACAATAAAGTAACATCATCTCATCAGAGCATTATAAGCGTTAATCCTGGACTTCACTGCCAAACATGAAACAGAAGACTGAAAAGAATTAGGGATGAAACTGAATGTGAGTTGGTATGCAAGGCAGGATTATCAATGATGCACCACAGAAGAAGAACCAGGATCTTATACTGAAGTTAAAGTAATAATACAGATAGGTTTACCTCAACAAATCTACTTCAATAAATGTATTTAGTTCATTTCCACCACTGCAAAGAATGAAATGTATATTAATTCATATTTTAAGATATATCACGCATTGAATATCCTCACAGACGCATGTTGTAATGAATGCATTTCAGTATACACACAGTACATAAGTATAACATGTACTTTAGGTATCAAAAGTAAAAGTACTAATACTATTATCATGTTCTTTTTTACATGTAAGAGCCTTTTAGCATTGTGGTTTGACTACATTTAGATACTTGAAATACTGTTTTTAATAGTATTTCAGTACTCTGTTACACCATATCAGCAAATCATGTGTTTTTATATGAACAAAAGGTGCTTTTTGCCTCTGAAATATAGTAGAACGACACTGGTTTTTGCTATATATACGTTGATAATGCAATTTATTACTAAATCTTGACTTGTGTATCACATTGTTCACTCTGAATATATATGGATATGTGAAGTTATAGGTGTACGAGGTACTTTAAAACACCTGTTGAAAGGTAATCCAGTCTCAAAGTCAGAGAAAATCTGACAAAATCAATATTTACTCACAGTTTTCCTCATCGCTGTAATCTCCACAGTCGTCAGTGAAGTCACACACACTTCCCTCGGACACACACAGATCCTGAGAGCAGCTGAACTCCTGAGCTGAACACACTGCGTCACACACTGGGGTCAAAAACACCAGAGAAAAGGCAGAAAACAGCCACAGAAGCATCATCTTACTGTCTGTCCTTTAACTACAGCACATGATCTCCTCCTCTGAGTGAAGCATGTTGTTTTGAAGATAGAAGCAGCAGCTTCAGTCGAGGTACAGCTCGTCTGTAACGTGTGCAAGTAGCTTAGGAGCTGTTAGCATGTTGTAAAAGGTAATCAATGGCTTTTATGGCTGTTACTCAATAAGGTCACTGTGTGTTCATGTGTTCATTCTCTGAGAGGCTGGACTGAGGCTATTAGCTTTATGCTAACATGCTCACAATGCTATCAAGCTCCTGTTTAGCTCCTATAATGTGTTTAACATACGAGTTCAGCATGCTAACACAGCTAATTAGCACTAGCATGTCCTTAATGAAGGGGCTAGAGGAGATGACTAATGAATCAAATGCAATGCAATCCATCCAATAGGTGTTGAGTTATTTAAATGTGGTTCTTAGTAGTAGACAGACTATTAGCATGGCTACAAACCAGGTTTATACTCTGATAGATTCCTGTGTATTTTCATAATAACCACTTCTAGGAACACCTACATCAATTGGAGAACTCTGAGTATCTGTAAATGTGAAGAGGCTGCAGTTAGCCTGTGTGTGTGTGTGTGTGTGTGTGTGTGTGTGTGTGTGTGTGTGTGTGTGTGTGTGTGTGTGTGTGTGTGTGTGGGTGTGGGTGTGTGTGTGTGTAATTAACGCTGTGTCTCAATCCCACTCCACTGAGAGGCATCATTTCATTTCACAGCAATCAATAAACACAAGGACCTTAAAAACAGAGAAGCTACAAGAGCTGGGGAGGTTCCAATTAAATGACTTTCGAAGGGGCGAGAGAGCGAGGGAACAAGGAGAAGATCACGTCTGTATCGCCCTCTGTTGGCAGCGGCAGTGGGAGGAAAGTAGAAAGTGTTTAAAGCAGAATGTGTCCTGTTTTTATTACAGAGCAAGGATGCACATGGAGGCACTGACAGACTCATTATTCCAATTAACATGTGAGAGGAATTCATACTGTAATAGCAAGCGTCTCATTACCAACAAGCCAATGTGGAAGTTATTAGCTCACAATGCTAACATGCTAAAGCTACTGTCCCACAACTCTCAGGTTGAGGGGCCCTCCTTTCCCAACTTCAGCAAGGAACACCCCCATGACTATTGTTGGAGTCGGGAGGCCTGTTCATTTATTCCGGCAATAACTCAGACCTACTAATTGACCTAACAGAAGCTATTGATTCTAAGTTTACTGCTCAGCTCAGATCCATCGAGGTCAGCAAGGTCTCACCTATTAACTCCTGAAGAACCAGGTTCAATTAACTGCTGTTTCAGTTCAGACGACACGCTAAATCTGTTTAAGCGATCCAGAAGGATTCTGGTATCAGTAATAATGAGGTGTGGCCTTACCTAAGTGTGAGTGTGGCAGTGGTGCAATCTTACCTTTAAGCAGGAGAGGAGAGCGCAGATTTATTTTAAGTTCTCCCAATCCAAAAAGGTGGGATCATTTTTTATTTGAAGAAAATGGTCCACACTTAAACAGGTTTTTACCTTCTCTCGTTACAATATGACAATCATACAAAACATATCATGCTGTGGTACTTTTCTAATATAAAAGCTCAATTCAGTTTTACATTTCTTACACTAAATTCTAACTTCAACTGCCCTCTTCAGTTGAAACATTAAAAGTCTAACCCGACAGAATCCAGAGGAATCTCCTCATAAATGGTCAGTGGTATCTAACACATTCAAGCTTTCATTCAACAATTCACCAATCAATCTGAGAGATCTTACCAAGTTGAGAGAACCTACCAAGGAGAGACCCCGCTCTGGAGCTTTCTCCCTCTCAGCCAGTGCTTTTATGCTGCACATAGGAACACAAAGAAAACCCAAAGACACCTCCTTTATACCCTGTGGGGAAAGGTCATGACCTCTGGTGTGCAGGACTGGACATCCAGACATATTCTCCTATGGTATGGCCTGAACACATTTTGGGGCTCCAGTACTTTTCCATTGAGTCAGGGGCCCAAGCTAACCTGAAGAAGAGTGAGTTGGGGTATCTGGGGTCGATGGGGTCTCCTCTTTGGTGCCGGGATGGGTGGGAGGTGGTGGTAGGTAGCGGCACGTGTATGTGCAACACATCTTTAAGAAAAGCTTTAAGTACAATGGATTGTTTTTGTTCATTTCATATTGAGGAGAGCTAACAGGAAGTCTCTCATCAGCTGCAGTCTTCTTCTGTATTCTCCAAAATGCCTCCACGCTCCTCTGGACGTCTCAAACTCGCCCCGTGATGAATAAACTGAGAACAAATAAAACCTGAGCTTACAGATTTGTCTGGAACACCAGAAACACACTGAGCAATAACTACATTTTAATTAAGTGTTGAAACCTCAATAAATAAAGTTCACTTGGTACAACCTCTCACCTTTCTGTGTGTCTTCACTTCCTGTCACCTGAGAGGAGAAGGAGAGAGAGAGAGAATGATGATGATGATAAAACTAAGAGAAACAGCCAGAATGATGAAGAGAGAAAGAAGAGTGTTGTTTTCCTCTGAGGTCATGCTCCATTCAAGAGTTTAGTATCTTGATGAATGGAGGATATGGTTATATCTCACACAGGCTCCGCCCTCTACTGGACTCTATGGGTACTACTCTCTATCATGCTGAATGATACGTAAACTGAATTTACGTAAACGTAGCCGGCCAATCGGGGCGAGCCTACCTGAATGCGCGCGCAGGCCCACAGTATATAAGGCGGCTACAGCCGCCGCCCCACTATCCTTTTTCTCTTCAGACGGGCTGACAACCGAAGAGTTAAATAAACGTACGAAGATTAGAAGAAACGAAAAATTGACTCACCATTACTGGAATCTCGGCCATGCCCCACCTGCCTTGGTTTGATCGCGGGAACCGATCTCCGCCACCTCTGTTAGAGTGTTTGGGGGACCAGGATATGGCCGAGGCGGTGCCATTCACGTTCGCCATTCCAGCGGGGCGGATGGCTCCGTTTGCCGTTGTCGGGCACTTCCGGGTTCGGTCCATGGAGGTCCACCGCCCTAGGTGATGACCATGGCGGCGGAGCACAGCTGCTCCCAGCGGGCAGCAGGCTGGGCAGGGAGCTGAAAATAGCTCTGCCACGCTACCGCGTGACAGGGCGACTGCAGATAAACACGGGTGTGTTGGGCATCTCGCTCATTGCTGGAGATGCCCCCACCTCGCCAGATCAGCGCGATTATTTGTAGCTTGATCGTGGCCGCTGCCGTTGTCTGCCGTGTGGTATCCCGGTGTTGGATCACGCCGCATGGCACTTTTCAAAAAGGACCGTGTTGATCTCCTGGGAGCCCCCGTGTTTACGGAAGGGCTCTTTGGATCGGAAAGAACACTGTCCCACACTCCCCGCCCCCCTCTGTAAACTCCAGTATAGGAGCCAGCAGGTGGGCGCGTGCACGTGAGTGGAATAAACCGTAGTGCTGTCAAAGCACTGTGCGGGTTCAAGAGAGTGATGTGTGTGTGAGAAATGCATTCAGTGAAAACGATTGCATTTATCCCAGAGTAAGAGTCATCTCTCTCCACATTTCCACTTTTCACCATAAATGTCCGTTTCAAAGAGATGTCATTTGACAGAGCCGCGGCCCCACGGGAGCTGCCGCGGTGCGTTCAAGAACCTCGGTAGAAAATCGGCCCTTTTTCTGTGTCAGCCCCCATGCCAGAACTCCCTTTTATGGAAGGTTTGGCAGCGGAGTAGGCCACCAGAGAATACTACAGCTTCATAGATGTGGCTCCAAAGTCGAAAAGAGGCCCTGTTGCAAGAACGGTGGGTTACGTATATAGTAACCCTAGTTCTAGAGTGATGTGTGTGTGAAAAATGCATTTAGTAAAAACGATTGCATTTAAGAGTGAGTAAGAGTCATCTCTCTCCACATTCCACATTTCCCCATAATGTCCGTTTCAAGGAGACGGCATTATGACGACGCGCGGCCCCCCCCCCCCGTGAGAGTGGCCGCGGTGCGTTCAGGGACCTCCGCAGAAGAACAGTGGGTTACGTAGTGTAACTCTAGTTCTAGAGTGATATGTGTGTGTAAAATGCATTCAGTAAAAACGATTGCATTTATCCCAGAGTAAGAGTCATCTCTCTCCACATTCCACATTTTCCACATGTCCGTTTCAAGAGACGGCATTATGAAGACGCGCGGCCCCCCCCCCGAGAGCGGGCCGCGGTGCGTTCATGGACAGAAGAAGCTCCGATTAATGCTTATTTCTCTCTAAGAGAAAACAGCATTATGGTGGAGCGCGCGCTCTCACGGGAGCATGCCGTGGTGCGTTCAGGGACCTCAGTTAAAAATCGTTTTTTTCTCTGAGTGGAAACTACATTATAGAAAAACGGCCCTTTCTGTGTCAGCCCCCCATGGGTCAAACTTCCTTTTATGGAGGGTTTGACGGCGGAGTGGGCCACCAGAGAGTACCACAGCTTCATAGCTGCGGCTCCGCAGCTGATTGCACATCCCCTAACACAATGTTATGGGGAATGGAAAATCAGTGGTGTATTAACAGAGCGCATGGACAGGACACTGAGACTGGGTTATTCACTCCAGTTTTGCAGCATCCCTCCTCCGTTCAGAGGCAGGAGAGAAGCACATCTGTCATCCCAGGAGGAGGTTTCCTCTCAGCATGTGCACTCTCAAGTCAGAGAGAAGGGGCATTATTCCCTGTACTTCCTGGTTCCCAAGAAGACAGGAGAATTCAGGCCCATTCTGGATCTTCAATGCCTGAACCAGCACATTGCATGCAAGAAGTTCCATATGTTAACTATGAAACAGTTACTGAGACTGGTGCAGCCAGGCGATTGGTTCACAACCATCGACCTGAAGAACGCTTACTTTCATGGCGAAATTGCTCCAAGAGCACAGAAAGTATTTGCGTTTTGCCTTCCAGGGGGTAGCCTACGAGTACAACAGACTGCCGTTCGGCTACTTCCTATCCCCACGCACGTTCAGCCACGACGCTGCAACCGCTGCGGGACCATGGCATGAGGGACGACCTCATAGTTATGGCCAGGTCCAGGGAATGGGCAATACTGCACACAGCCCAATTGATCCTACACCTAACCAAGTTGGGTTGAAAAAGAAGTTGCGGTCAATTGGAAGAAGAGCTCCCCCATACCTCACCAGCAGGTAGAATATCTGGGGGTGATGCTCGATGCAGGCAGACTACGTGTCACCCTGACAGAAAGCAGACAGGCATCCCTGCTGCGGGCAGTCTGCAGGCTGCGTCAGGGGGCGACGGTGACAGCTTTGATCATCATGCAGACTTTGGGTCTCATGACGGCTGCTCACTCCGTAGTGCCACTCGGACTGCTGCATGCACGTCACATGCAGATGTGATTTACCGGCCTTCGTTTAGATCTTAAGACACAAACGACGTCTGGTGGCCATCCCTCCCCTCAGTAGAGAGCAACCTCCGATTCTGGGGGTCCCCAGAGAATCTGCGGAGGGGAGCTCCACTGGGGCAGGTAACCTCCTATATCACAGTCTTCACAGACGCTTCAAAGAAAAAGAAAGTGACAGGATGGGGGGGGGACGTGTCTAGAAAGGGCTGTGGGTGGTTGCTGGCCTCTGGCGGCACAGCAACCTCCTGGAGCTGCAAGCAGTGATGTTGGTCCTACAGCACTGCAAACCCTTAATACAGGGCAAACATGTGCTAGTAAGGAGCGACAACCGCACCACAGTGGCGTACATCAACAGGCAGGGCGGAGTCCGCTCAATAGCCTGGTTGACCGCAGCAGAGAACCTGTGGCTGTGGGTTTCACAGATTGTGTTGTCTCTAAGGGCTCTTCACATCCCGGGACGGGAGAACAGGGGGGCCGACCTCATGTCAAGAGGCGGACCCCTGCCAGACGAGTGGAGGCTTCACCCGGAGGTGGTGAAGCAGGTCTGGACTCAGTTCGGTAGAGCAGAGGTGGACCTGTTCGCCAATCGGCGCAACAGCCACTGTGCCCTGTGGTTCTCCCTGGCTCGGTGGGACAACCCGCCCTTGGGGGTCGACACATTTGCACAGGAGCCATGGCCAAGAAAGCTGCTTCACGCCTTTCCACCGCTGCACCTTATCCCCCCCCCTCCTGGAGAGGGTGAGGCGGGAACAGCTGTCAATCATCCTGGTGGCCCCAGATCGCCGCCTGGCGCCGTGGTAACGCGGGGGTAACACAGATGATGGTGGGCCAGGTCTGGGCGATTCCTCAGGTCTGGGGAGCGCTGTCTCAGGAAGCAGGTGCAATAGGGGCGTTACCCACTCTGGGCCAACCTCTCCAGGCTTGGCTCCTGAGAGGGACAGGCTGAGACAGGTGGGGCTGTCTGATAACGTTATTCAGACTATCCAAGCAGCAAGAGCAGAATCCACCACAGCTTGTTACAGGCCAAAGTGGGCGGGATTCTGGCGATGGTGTGAAGGAAGGAGTCTAGAGCCTCTGTTGTGCACGCTGGGCTCTATTCTTACCTACTTACAGATACTGGTGGACAGGGGGCTGGCTCATTCCACAATTAAGGTGTATGCAGCAGCCATTTCGTCCTGCCATGAGGGATTTGGAGGCAGGTCAGCCTTCAGTCAGCCGCTTATGGCGCGGTTTTTGCAGGGGGTCAGGAGGCAGCGCCCAGTAGTGCACACATCCGCCCCGCAGTGGGACCTGCCGTTGGTGCTCGAGGCTCTGATCACAGAACCATTTGAGCCTCTGGAGCTCTCCTACCTGAAAGCACTGTCATGGAAGACAGCATTGCTACTTGCCTTGACTTCGGCTAAAAGAGTGTCCGAGCTGACCGCTCTGTCGGTACACCCAAGTTGTCTTTTGATCCGGGGTGACCGTAGCGGGGCGACACTCAGGCCGAACCCCTCCTTTACTCCTAAGAGTATCAGAAGTTCATTCAGATCAAGGGCTATTCAGTTAGGTGGCTTTAATCTTCCACCCCATATTGG